TTAAATGTTTTCTCTCAACTTTCATCCACTTGACTTTACATAATAAAATTATTGCACGTAATCGTTAAGGTATTTTTGTGAAATTATGAAGAAATATATTATAACATATAAATATTTTTGAACTATGGGTTTATTTGAACAAAGATAGAAACACTTTATTTTGCATTTTTCACAAATGATGTCAAGCATCATTGAACATTTTGATATGCTTAAAATAATGAAATAAACACCGAAGCTTCTCACAGGAAAATAATAAATCAAACAATTCTTTTGAAGTTACGATACCAACACCTGCGTTTTGATATTTACTTATTTAATTGTTAAAATTTTAACATCACATTAAAATATAATGGCCCAATAACCAAAGCGTCTTGCCGCCCTACTGCCAATCATGTGATCAAGAATCGACCGATACACCATGGTTACTCAAATGACTGACCATGCCAACAGGCCCGACCGACCGGGGTGCAGACGTGAATCTTTGATAGCGACTAATTGGTTGAGTCATCTTTACCATGACGGATGAGATCGACACTCAACCGAGCACCTCGACCAACCAAACAATGGCGCGGTCGCCACTCAGCCGGCCACCCCAATCCGTCAAATAGAAGCAAGTCGGCCAGCCAATTACCATCATGCTAAAATTCAAAATATAACACAAATTTGGTATGAAATTCATACGATTTATTAGAACATTAATTGTATTAAGAGCAGTTTTTATAATTGTTCTATTTTTCTGTAATTATACAAAATAAGTCCCTATAAGTAGAGACAAAAAAAATACGAACAAAAGGTTTTTTCACCGACTCTCTCTACAGGAAACTCCTGACTTGTTATACTCTCTTTTTCTCTTCTTTTTCTCACTCAATGCTAAACTCTCGGACGTATTCATAAAAGACAATTTATGATCCAACATATATATTGTGGTATAACTAGTAATTATTGGCTTTTAAGCCACCATCAAATCCTTGCAATCTCCTCTCCAAGCCAATTAAAACTGAGCGAGTCTGCGTCAAGATTCACTGTTCTTTGCCTACTCCATCTTATCACATACTCTTGGTTCTTCCCTGTTGCCCATATTCTTCCAAATCTAAAGATTATTAAAAGAAACTCTGGCCCAACTAGCTCAAAAAAAGGTTACAAACATGAAATTGAATTAAAAAATAATCTAACATAAACATCATAGTTGAATTAAAATAGAAATGCAAAAAAAAACTAGTCAACCTCAGTTTTCAAGATTGCATGTTCTATTTATAATTGTTATGGTATGACTCATATATCATACAATTCCCCGTTGCCCATATTCTTCCAAATCTAAAGATTATTAAAAGAAACTCTGGCCCAACTAGCTCAAAAAAAGGTTGCAAACATGAAATTGAATTCAAAAATAATCTAACATAAACATCATAGTTGAATTAAAATAGAAATGCAAAAAATTACTGGTCCACCTCAGTTTTTCAAGATTGCATGTTCTATTTATAATGTTTCTCTTATGCCAAAACAATATTGTAGCATCTTCTTATAATCTACCATTACAATTTCATTTTCTTCTGAGGATCCTCTTGGTGTTTTCCAGCTTCTCTAGGTCTTTGAGAAAGCTGAATATTGTATTCTGTACTCTTTTCTGAATATTGAAAACGTCGCCGCTCTGCTCCCGATAACGTAGGCATCTTTGCCGAACCTCGTTAAATCTTTGTGTTCTTCTAAATTTGTGTCATTCTTGTTTTTCTTCGCCCTAATTTCTCAACAATAATGTTTCTTTTATGCCAAAACAATATTGTAACATCCTCTTATAATCTACCATCACAATTCCATTTTCTTATGAGGATCCTCTTGGTGTTTTCCAGCTTCCAAAGAACGCAAGGGACAGCACATCATTGCCTTCTCCGAGCTTATCCTCCCTAATCTTCATTTTAACTAGCTAAACATATGCATGAAGCCTCAGAAGAGAAATAAATTCTTCTTAAAGACCTTCGTGTGGGAATTTAAGCTGATAGGAGCTCGCGAGGCACCAAAGCTCGACAACGAATTTCATGCTGATGGGATCTAGCGAGGAAGCAATGCAATGGGAATTCATTGGTGCAGGCTGGTGACAACAAAGACACTGTTTAATGGAGATAGTTGTGGTTCTCTGCTGACGAGGTGGGTAGAGTGGTGGAATTAGGATGTTAACATGTTTAGGGTGATGGATTTATGATATTAATGTTTTAGGTTTTAAATATGATATTATGATAATATCATATTTATTTTTGAGTGGCATGTTTGCAGTTTTTCTTTAAAAGTGCTCATTCATATTAATTTTTATCTATCTACCTCTATATATATATATATGGAATCTATGATCTGGCAAAGATGTAGTGTAAACAGTCGAAATGATTGGTAAAGTAGATCAATCGACACTAATCCACACGGATCAAATCAGAGAACTCAGCCCAATTAACTCAAAGTCGCTCAGCTCACCCTCCTGAAACCCAGAGTTTCATAGCCTAATCGGTTAACCTCTTCCTTGGATCAAATAGACTGGTAAGTTCTTCAAACATAGAAGAACCCATCATCGAGAATTCCTAAAACTCTTGCCTCATGTATGTAAAATATTAAAATAGTCACAATTACTCTAATTAACCAAGAGCATAAATGTAATCTCATAATTATACCCTATATCTTTATAAATAGGAGATCATTTATTGAATAAAGGCGACACATTCTTTACCGCTTATTGGTGTGCTCTCACTATTTCTTTCTTATCAAACGCTTGAGGAAATATTACGATCGGAGTCTGGACACACTTTTGTGTTCAGACTTCAATAATATAGAGCCATTTGTACAGTGGTGGGACCTATTTTTATGAATTAAAAAAATGTGGAAAAAGCTATTTTTTTGCACAACCCCGCCCGAAAACTGTCTGTTACATAAAAAATAAACAAAATATATCATGTTGATATTTTAACGGTATTCTGATGACATTATGTTGGTATTATGGTAGTATACTAGTGATATTCAAGTGATATTCTTGTGGTATTATGGTTGTTTACTTTTCGTATTCTTGTTATATTATGGTGGTATTTTGGTGTTATTCTGTTTGTATTATGGTGATATTTTGGTGCTATTTTGATAGTATTATTGTGGTATTCTGGTGATATTCTGGTGGTATTTTTGTGATATTCTAGTGATATTATGTTGGTATACTTGTGGTATTCAGTTGAAATATTTGTGTTATTTTAGTAGTATACTAGTAGTATTATGGTTATATGCTTATGCTCTTCTGCTGATATACACGTGGTATTCTTGTTGTATAGTAATGATATTTTTATTATATTATGATGATATTCTGGTGATATTTTGTTGGTATTATTGTGATATTCTGGTGTTATTCTAGTTATATACTAGTGATATTTTAGTAATTTTATGTTGATATACTTGTGATATTGTGATTGTATTATAATGATATGTTGATGACATTCTGGTAACCAGCAAAATACCACAAGTATATCACCGTAATATCACAAGAATATCACTCGTATACTACGAGAATACTACCAAAATATCACAAAAATATAACCAGAATATCACTAGAATTCCACAAGAATACCACCAAAATATCATCAAAATACTACAATAATACAACCAAAATAACACTAGAATATCACCAAAATACAACAAGAATATCACTAGAATGTCACTATAATACCACCATAATATCACCTTAAAATAAATAGAATACTACAAATATGCTACCATAATACCACAATAATAACATCATAATACCACAATAAAATCACCATAATACTACCAGAATACCACATAAATATCACAAGAATACTATTAGAATATCTCCAGAATAACACAAGAATACCACCAAAATAACACCATAAATACAACCATAATACCACCAGACAAGGACAAGAATAAAACAAGAGTACTACCATAATACTACCAAAATACTACCAGAATTTCAAAATAATACCACCAGAATATCATTATAATACCACAAGAATACCACCAGACTACACCAAAATACCGTTATAATATAACCATAATACTATTAGAATATCATCAGAATACCACTAGAATATCACAAGCATATCATCAAAATATCACCCGAACATCACAATAATACCAACACAACACAACCAAAATATCATCAGTATGCAATCAGAATACAAGAAGTATATCACCATAATATCACAAGTATACCACCATGATAATACCATAATACCACAAGTACCAAAATATCACAATATACCAACATAATACCATGTATACCACCATAATGTCACCATAATACCACAAGAATATCACTGTAATATCACCATAATACTACAAGAATACCACCAGAATTTCACTAAAATACCACCATATTACAAGTATACCACTAATATATTACCAGAATACCACAATAATACGACAAAAATATCATCATAATATCACAAGAATACCACTAAAATATTACTATAATATAAAAAGACCACCACAATATCTCAAGAATATTACCAGAATACCACCAAAATACCACAATAATACAATCATAAATCACAAATATACCACCATAATATCACAATAATATTACTATAATACCACTAATATACTGCTAGAATATCTTCAGAATATATTATCAGAATATCAACAAAATATTATTATAATACAACTTAAATTTTTTTTATGCAATAGGTGGTCTTCATGTCGGGTCACATAAAAAATAGTTTTTTTTTAATATTTTTTAATTCATGAAACTAGATTCCATTCATTTTATAAATGATGTCATATTATTAGAGTCCAGAGATAAAATAACATCCGAATTCTGGATGCAATGTTTTATATTTTTTTGGACGTGTTTCCAAAACAATTCCATATTCAACACAAAATTTATATTTTAGATATTAAAATGTATGAGAATTACGATTGTATGCATGTAAATTTCCGAAAAAAAACAAACAAAACGCACGTAAAGCCAAATCTCCCATCAAAGCATCTTATAATTACTCTTTAACAGTATCGTATAATGCATCATCGTCCATCAGCAGCAGGAAAGATCTATACCTGTCAGCAAAAACGGCATGAAGAGGTCAAGACATGGCCATCCATCCGCGGCCATTCCTTACAGTGAGTTCTCACTTGAACTCTCTTATTGATGGGATGCTGCGGAGAGGATGAGGAGGACGGACTCCTCCATACCCTCCTCCATGACCCAAACCCCAACTCCAATTCTTCCCCCGAACCTCCAGAATCCGTATCCACCTCCGCCGAATCAGTGCTCTCCCCGTTGAAATCCAATTTCTCGGCTCTAGGAACAAGTGACCTACTCCGCTCGATCTTAGGACTGCTTCCCTCCTCGGATCTAGCGCGGGCCGCGTGCGTATGCAGGGTATGGAGGGAGGTTGCCTCTGAAGGTGAAGTGCGGGAGAGGGCTTTCCGAAAACCGTGGAACGTCAGGCGGCTTATTGGCTCTCCTTCATCCCCTGGCTTTTGGCGATACCCTGGCCTCGATAAATTCGCGATCTCCCATCGCGTTTTGCGAGGGGACACCGTTGCAGGCGTCGCACTGAAGTATGCTGTACAGGTCGTGTTCCCTTGATGCTTGTTCTTTTATTTATTTTTTTGTTTGAATTTAGAATATGCATGAGCTACATCTATGTCGGGAAGGTGTTTTTCAGGGACGACCTTGTTTAATGGCAGAATAGATAGGGTAAAATTTTCACCGTTTTGTTTTGGGATGACTTGCTTTTATGACTTTAGAATATGCATGAGCTACATCTATGTCGGGAAGATGTTTTTCAGGGACGACCTTGTTTAATGGCAGAATTGATAGGGTAAAATTTTCACCGTTTTGTTTTGGGGTGACTTGTTTTATGAACAACTATGCATCTTCAATATCATTAGCCTAATCCCAACTATATAAGGGTTTGTGCAATTATTTTTTTCAGCATCATCAAAAGTAAAGGGCGCCATCAATGCGTCAGGGTGCTTGCTCAAGCAAAGTGTGATTGCAGCAAAAGTTGCCAATTCGCTTAATAATCTTATTTCATTTATGAAGAATTTTCTTAAACAATGAAGGATAAAATCATGACATTACAAGGAAAATAATGAAATTTCAAGTTTTGTTTCAATCGAAGTTCTAGAATATTGCCGAATAGATTTTTTCTTAAATAAATTACCCCCTCAAAAAAAAAAAAACATAAGTTTCTAGCATGCATAGCATAGGGATAGTATAATCTTTGTTATTATTTAATTGAGCATTGTTATCCATGTTCTGTTCTCCATGAATGGGCTTGTAACCTCTTATTTTTGATCCATTTCATTAGATTTCTTCTCTTCTTTGTCAAGATTTTTTAATTTAGAAGTTGAAGCTCTCACTCTTATATTAATCCAAGATATTTTCAAGCGAGCATCTTTGATTGTTCTCTAAATCTTGATGCTATTTTTTGCATCAATTTATGCCCAATTTTTATCAGAAAAAAATTAACTCATTTTTTTGCTTTAACTTATGTCCATTTTTTAAATTAACTCTTCATTGTTGAATCCTTTGCTATTGACAGGTTCTAAAGCTCAGCAACGTTATTTCATGGACGATTTTCAGAACTGACCTTTTAATTTGATCATCTAATTCTGTAGGTGATGGACATTAAGCGTCTAAACAATATGATGAGCGACCATGGAATATATTCAAGAGAGAGGCTTCTCATACCCATACGCAATCCAGAACTTCTCCAGGACAGCATATGCTACATTGAGTTAGATGTTCATGCGAAGAGAGAAGTTGCAGTGCTCTATTTAGAAGGTGGACTTGATGGAAACTCAACTCCTTTTCTTAGTGGATTCATCACTGAAAGAGGCAGGAAAATAATAATCGATTCCATGAAGCGAAGCATGCATGTGGATGATGAAACTGCAGCTTATTACCTGTCAATCTCAAATAATAATCCAAGGGCTGCTTTCCTGGAGTTCTCTGAGGACCTAAGGTGGGAGCACAGGCTATGAGCATCGCGGTAAGTTCACATTCCTTACTGTATAAATGGTTGGAGCATTATAAATTGTTTGTCTTGTTGTACTATCTTTTTGGTCAATGGAAAAGTATGTTGCGGAAGCTAAGTTTTAATTTTTTTTTCATGTAATCTTAATATTCTTACGTTCTAGATAATTTCATCTGCAACTATTGTTGAAAATTTTTTTTTTCCCAGCCTGAAGTAGTCCTATTCTTTAACCAAGATCACACATTCGATGACCAGAACTAGCTAATAAGATAATTTTAACCCAATCTATGGAAACTCCTAAGGAATCCAGGGATTGACGTCCATGAGGTTTATCTAGAAAATTAACAAAACTTGTAATTCATATTGTGTAATTTTGGCATTGTTTGAGTAAACATTATATGGTAGAGTTCGAATGGGGGGAATTCAAATTTCCCCCATTTATGGCTATGGTGGCCGGGGTAGATGGGGAAGAAGACGATCCTGCCTGTGGAGAAGTTCAATCCGATGGTACGGATTCAATTGGGACTACCCTCTAGTGCTGTGGGCTCAGGAGAGCGGCAGGGAAGCCAGACAAGTGGTTGGCTAATTTTGGCCTAGTTTTGCCATGGCGGCAGATAACCTGTCCACTCATTTACCTACACATTGTAGGTCAGATATTACATATTCTGTTAGTATTGTGAGTCAACCCATGAATAGCTCAAATGAAGAGCATTTGAAGATGTATAAGATTCTGTGATTTCTCAAGAAGACTTTTGGTTATGTATTAATTTTTGAGAAAATCAGAAACAAAGAGGTAGAGTTTAACACTAATGCAAGTTGGGTTGGAGAGCTCACTGACAGAATGTTCACCATAGATTACTGCTCCTATGTATGAGGAAACCTGGTTGCATGAAGTAAGAAGTAAACTTTTGTTTCTAGAAGCAGTGCAAAATTAGAATATAGCTGGATTCAGAAATTGTTAAGGGAATTGGGGTGTACCTCTAATATGCCTAAACAGATTTTTTGTGATGGTCAATTAACCATTAGTATTGTTAAGAATACCGTGTATAATGACAGGACCAAACACATTAATATTGATAGAAACCTTATTTCTGAAAAGATTAATGATGAAATTATACAACTAAGTTATATCTCGACACACTATCAAATTGTTGATGACTTCACCAAAGCTCTTCCTTTAAGCACCTTCTTAGAGTTCAATACTAAGCTTGGTCTCCACAACATCTATGACTTAGCTTGAGGGGAGTGTGGAAAGTTAGGAAGGTGGCCCGACCGACCATCTCATAGCTCTTGGGGAATCTAATTGGAGACCACTTTGGAAACCCCTTGATTAGCTTTAGTCTCTTCTTATTTTATGTTTCTTTTTGTTTATTTCATATTTATTTTCTTTCTAAATTTAGATTTGATATATTTGATAACTTTGTGAGTTAGGAGGGACCGATTTTCAATTATATGCATCTTACATGTGAATAATGAAATTGTAATTTTTCCTCCCAAAATTTATTTTTAACAAGTTATATGTAAAACATATGTCATATTCAATTGAAAAAAAATTAGTAGCTAATTTTGTTTTTATAGAATAACTATATATATAATTGTATGGTAGTCATAAGTTCAACACGATTAGCAAAAATCGAGAATAACTATATATATAATTGTATGGTAGTTGTAATTTCAACATGATTAGCAAAAATCAAGAAAAATGTTTGATCAAATAGGAATGAATTATTGGCTAAAACTTATTGAACTAATTACAACTTGTTGGTAGTATCAAAAAGTAAACTTGATTAATTTATAAGATTTACTCCATACATCTTTCAAAAAGAGTTTGAGCCGAAGGATAAATTATTTTGCAAATTACAAACCTTAACATCCTAATGAATCCAATGCTTTAGATAACTTCATGAACTTATTCTTGAGGTTCATGTCCTTGTCCTTCATCGTTTTAATTGATTTTACATTATGCATTAAAATTCTCACAAACTTCCAAATTTGAAATCACCAAGTGGCCATTTGGTTTGCTAAAAAGTAATGCCGAGTAAAATGGATATAATATTTTTGAATTGCAATTTACTTTAAATATTTCAGAGTTATTTGGTTGGATGTAAAATAAATGCATGAGACTATATTTTAATGTTTGGTTTGAAGTTAAATAAATTTAGGTGAAGTTTGGTGATAGCGAGAATAAGCACTGGCTAGCAGTGATTGACAGTCGATAACATAATTGGTCTGTGATGATGGTCGGTGGCGACCAGTGGTTACTGGTGATAGTATGAGGTTGTAACATGTTGCAGTAATTGGTGGTAGCTTGAGGCCCTCGACTGCAATGGAAGGAGGCGATGAAGCCTGTTAATATTCAAATGTGGTGGGATGGGCAACGACTGGAGGCGATGAAGCCTGTTAATATTCAAATTGTTAACCCCAAGACCACGACTTATGTTGTATTTGAACTAAACAACCCCTAAATATAAATTTTAGTATGCCCATACATATTTTAGTTATTATTAAAAGAAGATAATACTCATGGGGTTAACAATTTCCTTCTTTTTGAGGATGGCAAATCTATGTTTGATAGTTATGAGGATGAATGTGTAAATGACCTTGCTCCCTAAATGTAGTGAATGGATAAATTTAGCAATAAAATAACTAAATATAACGCTTCACCCAAATTATGTAATTTTTTTCTCAACTTGCATGTATGAATATGATATAGAAATGACAATCAACTTATCAATATCTCTTTTATGATAACAAACTTATGCTAGCTAGTGATAATAACGAAGGGGTAAAATGATCTCGATTCCTTACTACTATCGAATGAATTAATCTAACAATGAATCTACTAACTACAATGTTTCGAATTGAATTATGTAACTTTCTCACACGAAGAATGTATGCATATGATTTAGAAATGAAAATAAATATACCAATCTCTCCCTTTTTAGTAATATAAATATAATTACAAAAAAAAATAAAATAAACATGGGTCAATCAATCATGGATGAGGATCTAATATTTCTTCTTAATTCACAAAATTTATCTTTAATATCAAGTAATTCTTTAATTCTCAAAATATAATTCACTATACAAAATTAAAGATAAATAACATATTCATTGATCATGATAGAAGATAAATAACATATTCATTGATCATGATAGATTATAAGGTTACAACATAAAATTGAACAAAATGAAATTTCAAACGAGTAAACATTATCCATTGGAATATCGTGATGCCTAGTTAACAAATATTATCTATGAAAGTTACATAGGCAGACCATGATTGTCAAAAGACATTTAAACCAAGCATCAAAAGCAATAAGAGATGAAATTCATATTCTATTTTCTAAGCTAAATGATCACATAACATATCTCTAAATAGTTTGATAAAACATTTCATATCAATGTAACCACAAGCTATTAGAGAAAACTCAGTAGTCAGACCAAGTTGTATGTGCATGATTATATAAAATATGTATTATTGATCCCAAAATTAAATCTAAACAAAGCTATGTTATGTTCTTATGAACGAAGCACGTTTAAATTTGTGAGAACCAAGCACAAAACATTAATTATTTTTAAACGAATGAAAAATGTGTAAATGCTATTAAAAACCAAACAATTGTTTATCATGAAATTTATGTATTTAGTGTATTACTTTAAATCTTGATAAAATAAACTTATATGTTTATTTAGAATGAGAATATAAAGCTTAACATAAAGATCATACTAAAACAAACTTGTCTAAAAGCATGAAACATTAATTATTTTTAGTCTTGATTCAGTATAAGAATTCATACATTTTAATAGCTTATATCATCAAAAGCTAAGTAAATTAGTTAGTATGTACGGCATTAACTAATTTAAAGTCCAAAAATAAGGTTAAAAGTATTACTAAGTATGAACCTCATACCATGCCTTCATCAATCCTACTATGAAGGCGTTCATACAAATTGAAATCACATAGATAATTTTGGAACATAAACTGATTTTGAACCCAATTCATTAGATGTAGAATGTATTCTAATGTATGATTTGTGTATAGGGTTGGCGTACTTACGCACCCAAACATGTATAATGTGAAATTGTGATCTTCTTGCATAACAATCAAACGAAATATATTTATTTTTTTTAACAAAATTTGCAGCAAGTATTAGTGTTTGCATATGGTCTATTTTAGTGATGGTGTTGGTGTGAATGTGTATGAGTGTAATGTGCATGATGTTTCTTGTGTGAATAGTTTTTTGTAAGCATATTTATGTGTGTATTGTTGGCAGTGTTATTTTGAAATTAAATCAAGTTATCTTTTAAAGGAATGTTTTCTTCTTCAAACATACAAGCAAGTAAATATGTATCAACTAAATAGCCTTTTATTTTCTTTGAAGCATCACATTCAAATTTAATATCACAGAAATGACCAAGTTTTCATGCTCTTTTTATAGTGAATGATATTTCTTTCTAAGGTCTTTCAAAACACCTCATATTTATAGCTAAATATTTATGTATTTAGTAAGATTTGAAGAACTAAAAATAAATCCAAAGATTGATTTTCCAAAAAGTTGTCTACCACAACAGCTAACTAACTAACCCTTTGCAACTTTTCAACTCATGACAAGATTTGTCGTTCATGTCAAGCCCTTTCTTGTGTGCCATATGCGAGTATGTTTTAGGGCGACAGGCATAATAGCAAGAGTTAGAAATACTTGAAAGCTTAGTCATTTTAATTGTGCAAAAAGCTAGAGAATACTGAACAAATATGCAAGAGAATTCTGTTTAAAATTTATTTCTAGTAACTTACATTATATTTAGATAATTAAGAAATAAAATTTGAGTACTTTAAGATACTCACTTAGAAGATTTCTTAATGAGAATTTGAGCCAATTGATGAACCATATTGAAAATTTTAAAAAACTACCAGACTTTATACATCATTACCAATTCTATATAAACTTTAGGAGAATGTACGCATGACTATGTTTTAGGATTATCATGAACACTAAGGAAATAGAATTTTATCTTTGTTGCAGTGCTTTTTTAAAAATTGTTGATTTAATTTCATGTTCTAAAGCTGCTAACGCATCCCATATAACAAAATTATATTTTATTAAGTTGTTGCATGTCACAATTTACCTAAAACAATTTTGTGTGATAGGGATGCAAAGTTTATGAATTATTTTTGGTAAATTCTGGGGAAAAAGAAATTAAAAATTTTAAATATCAATTACCCCCAAACCTTTGATTAAACTGAAGCAATTAATTTGAATTTGAGTGGTTCGCTACACTCAATTCGAGAGCACACTTCTGGGTGGGATTTGATTATAGACCATGCATATTTCAATTTTTTTGCTGTATTCATTCACTTTTCATTGTTGAATACTCTACTTTTGACAGCTTCCAAAGCTCCGCACTGTTATTTCATGGAAAATTGACTCTTTTACTTGGTGGATTCATCACCGAAAGAGACTGAAAAAAATATTCGATTCTATGAAGCACGCTAGTAAGTTCATATTTTTAACTGTATAAATGGTTGAAGCATTAAAAATTGTCTGCTTTGTTTTATATGGACAATTATGTTGCAGAAGCCAGGTTTTTATTGATTTTATGTAATCTTAATATTTTTTACTGTCTGTGTAATTTCAATCGCATCTATCGTTGAAAAAAAAAGTGCAAACATCATTAGTGTGCATGAAAGTGATAAAACTGCCATTATAACTATGATAAAGAGTTGAATGCAGGTCATCAACGATATTTCATAATAGAGCCCTTCTTGAAGAGTTGTTTTCACCACACTTCATGTCAAGGCCCTTGAGCTAACTATGATAAAAAATATATTTCTTCAATTGGCTCATACTTCTCCTCGAAGATTGTGTTAAAATTATGATTAACAAATGATAAATGATTCTTCTATGTGTAAGAAATATCACACTTACTTCTGGACTTAGCAAAGAGATAAACTCTTTTTTTCTCACATCATCAAGTTGTGTGCTCATTATTGTTGGGATTTCTCCTAACATAAACAAGTCTGAATACTATACACTATGATGAATATAAATATAATCTCATGAAAGGGTATATCTTCAAGAGAATGTATTTCTTGCATTTTCGTATAGCTAACATTTTGTAGAGTCATATCAGGATTATTAAAAATTAATAGTAAGCCATATGGCTTTCTAGTTAGGGTATATCTTCAAGAGAATGTATTTCTTGCATTTTTGTATTAGTTAACATTTTGTAGAGTCATATCAAGATTGTTAAAAATTAATAGTAAGCCATATGGCTTTGTAGTTCGCCCTCATCATTTTGTAAAATTAGATTATTTTATGAGCCAAATGTAGATATTTCCTTTGTCTTGAAAGCTTCATTTGTTGACCTCTTAATTTTCTTACAAATATTTTCAAGTGGTGCATAGTCATAAGAGCTTAATATTTAATGGATAATAAAAAATAAAAGGTTGAGGATTACAACTATAAAAAGATAATTACTTTCCAAAATATGCATCCACTAATAATGTCAGATATATCAGTAAATGCTTGATGGAGTTAAAAGATGCTAGTGGTAAAATCTTTTCAAGCTTATAAATCATTTCAATTATAGCCATCTCTAACTTCATAATATCAACAACATAGATGATACTTCACCATTTTCAAGGAAAAAACTATCATGTTCAATCAAAATATCTCAAACTGGTTTTGGTGATAAGTCATGAATGCTAATATGCAATTTTTTTGGCGATAAATACAGGATAGTCATGATTCCTCATTTCATTAAACTTAGATGTAGCTTCACACGTTTTGTAAGCTTGGATGCATGGCCGTTAAAAAATCTCAAACTTATTGTCTGCAAACTTGCATCTTTTTGTTTGATCTTTTTTTACAGTATAAGCTCCTTTTAAAAAGCTCCCCGTCAATATTAATTAATTCAAGATTATGTCTCATACATGCTTATGCCAAATCGAGTCTTGCTTTCATATTATCCCTTATGTTGTCCTTATTATTCATCGTTTTATTCAAAATATTGTCAAACACATTCTTCTCATTATACATTTTATTATGATTATGACTAATGAAATTAGTGTGATAAGATGGCAATTTCAAAATATATTTCTCTTTCTCCAATTGTGTCCCATACCACGTTCAAGAATTTTCTACTTAGCTTTGCATGTGACAATATAATATCAAGTAGTTTTGATGACATATTAGAATATAGTTTCTATCCAAAATGTCTTGATGTAGAATCATCCAACCCTTTTTGAAATAACTTTGTAGAATAAGATACAATTATGTTCACCTACCAGCTTCTTATTTTTTGGAATTATTGATTTATTGATAGAAAGCTAATGATCTTGAAAAGAATTGGAGACATTAAATATAGATTTACAAAGCATTGAATTGAGGAACTACTAATGATTTTGAATTATGCATGCAACCCTGCTTTGATGTTCATCAACATATGTTGTCAAGGACAGAACTTTATAAAATCTGCATTTAATGCTTCTTTGACTTAAAATACATGCACATATGCATCAAAAAATTGTGGAAAGTCTAGCATCCCTTCATTGAAATGTAAGATTCATGCTCAAAGAATTTTTTTACTTGATGATTCATCCAATAAATTGGATATAATAATGCTTTTGTGATGAACTTTATAGAGATGAATGTTGACATCATTGAGAATGTCAAAACACTATATAAAATTTAATGAAAGAATATTTAATCTCATTTGAGGATATATTTTTCTCGTCAAAAATTTCCAAAATTAGAAATGTTTCCTCTCTATTGATAAATTTATTGATGTAGCACATCACGAGGATAAGAAAATCAAACTGAATATCGAAATATATGAGTCAAGATTAAGATTCAAGCAAGTGAGCTAAAAAAGACTCAATAATAAAAATCCAAGCAATAAATCAAGGGAAAATTCATTTATGAATTGTTAAATTGGAATTATAATTTGTACTAATTTTGAAATTTCTTATTTCACCTTGGGATATGCTTCACTAGCCATTTATGGAAGGGATGGTATTGGAATAAGCAAATCTTCACATTGACCAAGAAATCTCTGCAATTTCGGTTACCTAGGGGCTTAGTTAGGCTCAAAATGATGAAATTTGAGGGAGAAAACTTGGTCTAGATTTTGGGCTGGTGCTTAGGCACCACGACCCTGGTGCCTAGGCGCCGAGGGCCTGACACCTACTTTTTTAAGGCTTGTGAAATGCTATTTCAAGGCATTCCGGGCGCCTTGCCTCATATAGACTGGCGCCTACTTTCCCATATAATTAAAACTATTATTTTCGTCAATGGCCACCCATCATTTTTTCTCTTTTTCTCTTCTTTTTAACCCTCCAAAAGTGTTAGTCCAAGAGTTTTGTATTGCCTATTAATATTAATATAGGCTGATAGGCATTGTAAAACTTTCTATTTTTTGAACAAAATATTTTGCTATTGAAGAGTTCTTCATTTGATTTTTGTTAAGTGTTTTTAAATATGTGTGTTTCTTTGGAGGTAATATATAATTATTTGTTATTCCTTTACATTACGCACTGTTGTTCTCCAACTCATGCTATAAATTCTATACACATCTTTCCCCATTTCACAAGCATCCTCCATGACTAATAAACTAGTAACCAAAGCCTCACTATCATTTTAAATGCCTTCATATAGCTCGCAACCAAATTGGGGAACAATAAGATAGTCTTGTTCCTTATACATATACATGCTCTTTAATTCAAAATATTTTTATCATCTACTTCAGATCATAAGTTAGCATTGTAAGCCAACGAACCACCATCATTTTAGCCATTATATGACACTTGAGTTAGCCCAATTGGGTGCATGTGACCTGCTCTAATTGGCTAGCTCATGTCCTTAGCCACATAGGAGGTTAGACAAAATATATCCAATGGAGATTGGGCACACCTTGGTTTGGATCAGCTTGGTTAGATTAAGTTCAATTGGATTGACTTAAGTTTTGGGCTTATTAGCTTGAATTTGGATTGGGTTTGATCATCTTTGAGTTTGGTTTAATTAGGTTGTTGTTTAATTTAAGCTTGGATTTAGTTTAGTTTAAGTTTAGGTTTAAGCTTAATTTGAGCTTAAATTTAGTTTAAGTTGAATTTAGACTTGTTTTTATGTTTTGTTTAGTTGTATATTGAATTGAATTTAGTTTGAATGTGGGTTTAATTTAGTTTGGATTATGTTTAATTTAGTTTGAATTTTAAGTTTTGTTGAGTTAAAGTTAAGTTTGGTCATAAGTTCAAGTTATGATATGTTAGGATTGAATCCAATTAAAATTATGAAATTGCATTTTGGATTTAGATTAATTCATGATTCAATTAGATTTATTTTATATTTAGGCTTAAGTGAGTTATGGTTTTGGTTTAACATAGTTTTGATTTAAGTTTCAATGTTTAATTAAGGAGTAGTTTAGGTTTAGATTTCTTCACTTATGTTAGATTGATTTGGTTTAGATTAAGTTCAAATCAAGCTTGCATTTAGTTTAGGTTGGTTATTTATTATGTTAATTTCAATTTAGAAGTTGAAGTAACTTAAACTTAGGCTTAGTATTAATATAAAATTTGACTAAAGTTTATGTTTAAGTTTTGATTAAGGACATTGGTTAGAAATTTAAATTTAAAGTTAATTTAATCTTAATTTGGATCAAATTTATACTTCATTAAACATGTTCAGTTTTAAGTTTGAATTTAGGTCCAATTGAATTAACTTCAATTTTGAATTAAATTTAATTTTAGCCAAACCCAAGTTTATATTTAAGCCAACTAAAGCTTTGAGCCAGGCACACCCAAGTCAGACCAATGCTCCCCCAAGTTCCAAAGTAGTATGATCACTAGACTCCTAACAACATAGAATGATCTAAGAGCCAGGAAAATTCACTTGGACTATGGGAGAAACATGCCGCTTTGATTTGATTTGATTTGTTTCTCAATATTAAAAAAAAAGACATGAAACAACCCTCTGCATAAATTAAATGATATGAATAGACTTGCAATAATTGCTCATCGTATAGATGCTCCCATGTGACCACGTTCTATCTATCAACATGTCAACAACATGTAGTTACATAAAGCCCACATAAAATTTAAAAAGAATTTCAATAAATCCAATCTTAATTTTTCCACACAATTTTATACTGGCCTCATACACCATAAAATCTAGGATGTGTTTGTGTTGGCTGCGATGTAAATTTACGTTATTTATCAAATTTAGTAAATCCGACGAGTGTGATGAGCTCACGACGTGGAGTTCGAGCAAAGGCGATTTATTATATCTAGATGCGAGCGTAAAAGAGACCGAATGCGAGCGCAGAAGACGAAACATTTAATTTTTCATTTTTTTTTATTTCGTGTTTGGCTGGATTTAGCCCAAGTCCAATCATAAATCCTATTAAAATTGTAAGAGGACATATGTCCAAAAAAAAGCATATCTTTTTAGCATATAAGAGGACATATGTGCAAAAATTGAAGTTTAAATATTTGACATGCATGTAAATACGCAGGAATTGAGTAATTTGTATGTAAATCTTTCTAAATTTTGTGGTGAATGGTTAACAAAGGAATGATATAAAAATATTTAGATATATAGTTGTGTAGGAAAATTTAAGATTGGATTTATTGAAAGTCTTTAAATAATTTATACAAGCTTTCTATAACATGTT